CAACACCCCCAGGTCCCTCTGTGCCTGGCAGAACTATTTTAGAATAAATCTGTAACAAAAGCTCGCCTTTAACTCGCCAAGAAGGTAACTGCTACATCTTTTGAACCAGTTCGATTAGGCCTGGAAAACGGGGAGGCGGCGGCAGGGGCCAGCATGTCAGGCAGCTCCCGCTGCTGTCGGCGACACTGGGGCTAAGGATGCGCAAGCTGAGCAGATTTGCCCACGCTGACAACGAAGGAGCCCGGCTGCTGCAAAACCAAAGCTGCACAGCACCTCCGGGGTGTCCAGCTGTGTCCAGCTCTGCGTGCATGGGATGGGTTTGAAAAGCGGGAGGAAAGGCCTTAAGAACAAAAAGCAGACAGGACCTGGTGTCTGCAGATCTCCCAACACCTTTTCTGGTGAAAATACCCAGAGGACTGTGGATTCCCCTCACTGGGATTCTTTTTCTACGATATCTCTGGAGGATAACTTCGACACAGCCTGGCAAACACACCACTAGGTCAGCTGAGCCCAGGGAGCTCTTCTAGCTCACCAATTTCTTGCTTTGTTACTGTGAAACGGTATGAGAAATTCCTGTGTGTTAAAGCCCTGCAAAGACTCCTAAAAAAGACTTAAAAATATAATACAGCTGAGTTCAGGGGGAAAAAAAATTACTCAGAGGTGCCTGCACAAAACAGTGCAGAGCCACAAAAGGTGCTCGGATTTATGCTTAAGTTACACTAGAACGAGAGGACAGCCAGAGGCACCAGGAGCTAACGTACTCAAAACCAATTTTACGGGTTATTTTACTGTGTGTACAACGCCTGGTTCATCTCTGAAGTTGACGCTGCAGGAGATTATGCAACAATAGTTGATGTGACTCCAGGCAGCAGAGAAATTGAGGAGGGTTTCTCAATCCTGAGACGCTTTACAGCAATGTCTACAGAAGAGCCCAGCCCACCACCACTGCCATCCGCGCCTGTCCCCGTGCCGCACCTCAGCCATTCCACATATTGGTTTAGAATCCTGGACTGGCCTAGGCTGGAAGGGACCTTAGAGATCATTTAATCCAACCTCCCTGTCATGGGCAGGGACGCCACCAGGATTATCCAGCTCTCCCGGGGCAGAGGGTGACACTTACTGGAGGATCTTCAGGTTGGTTGTGTGAGGCAGACAGAGGGCAAGTTTCACTGCTGCGCTGTCTCCAAAATCATTCCTCGACAGTCTGGAAGGAGCAGAAACAAAATGTCACTGGCAGCGAAGTGCAGAGCTTCATTCCTCACCCACATGCGCCTGTGACCCCCATTGCTCCCCCACATGTGCACAGCACTATGCTGAAAGGAACTGAAGTCAGGGCTTCAGAGGACATTGAGGGCGAGAGGAAAGAACAAGGAGGTTTTCTAATATGTGTCCTTAGCCCAGGACTGCAATCGGAAGGTTATATGTGTTTTAAATGTAACTTTTTCTCATTTGTTCTTTTCAAATTTGTATTTATTTAACACGGCAGGGCACATACGTTTGATCAACCAGTCTGGAATGGAAAGACTGATAATACACCTGGCTGAGCAAAGCCTCTACCTGTCATCTCCCCTCCATTTTTGCAGCCACACAGATTAACGCCGATTTCTTCATCAGCACAGGCACCACACAGCCCGTATGCCGGTGCCACTGCTTATTACACTGCGGATTCATCCCTTCTGCGCTGAACCAAGCTTCAAGCCTCCCACACCCAGCACCACACATTCCTGTCCCATGTAACTATGAGTTTTTACCCTGGTCTCATGAGAATTAGTGGTAAAAATGTTTTTGGCTTTACTGGAGCCGGGCTAGATTTGGTTTCTTTGTCTTCGTTTTTGCCCAGCTTCCTGAAGGGACATCGGCAATGACACACTCACATTAACTCCTCGATGCGCTTGCAGTAGGCAAGAGCTTCCATAAGTTTTTCCCCTCCAGCAGGACTAGAGCTGTTCCCTGAAAGGCTGAGATAAGCATGAAAGACTCTCAGTGACCAAACAAGAACCAGGATGTACCACGTTAAAGTATTTCACTGACGGCCTGGTGTGATGAGAGGAGCTGCAGAGGTGTGTCCAGAGACACAGGAAAATGACCTGGGGATTTGCAGCGTGGTTTTGTCAAGTACCAAGTCACTCCTGCTTCCGCAGGCCCCGGGAGGAAGGAGCAGCTTCCCCTCTCCCAGAAAGAACTGGAAATTCCTTTTTCTTGTTCAAGTCGGTTCCACGCTTTCTTCATTTTCAAGAACCGACAAGGCATACCCCAGAGCTGAGCCTAACAAACAGCCTGGGCACCCTCATTTCTGTTCCCTTGGAGGACGAACAGTTGGAACTGAGGTCTCCGAGAGCGACCCTTCTCTAGAGACTGCCCTCACAGCGTGGGAGACTTTGGAGCAGGTCTTCACTGACATCGAAAAAGCTGAAAGGTGCAAGTGGGGGCGGCACAGGGCTCTCCCCATCCAGGCTTCCCCCCCAAACTGAGATTGCCATGAACAAGACAAAAGGACTCACTCGATTTTCTTCAGGTTTGGCATTTTCAGCAGAAACAGGCCTGGATCTCCAATCTTGTTGTGGCTTAAACTTAAAAGAGAAGAAGACAGGCTGTGTTGTAAAGGAAAACGCTAAGTGCCAGGAAAGGTATGAGATCTTATTTTATGTCTCCCATCTGCTGGATGACACTTCAGACCTTGGCAGCAGCATCAAAGAGCTGCTTCTCTCAACTGTCTCATGAAAAAATAACAACTGGTAATGAGGCTTTAAAAAAAAAATTACAAAGAACAATCAAAACCACTGAATCTTGCTAATGGGTGGGGAATTACTTCAGTCCGAATATTAAGACAGGCGACAGGTGGTTGTTATTTCCCAAAGTATTATTTCCAAAAGTGGTGAACAGACAGCATCTGGCTACAGAGCGAGGAAAAAAAGAAGCCTCTAGATTCAGATCTTTTCAGAGCAGCGAGTGCTGGGTCTGAGGCTCTGCCAGGAGCGAAGGGAGCCTCTGGCCCTGTTCAGGATTCCAGGGATTCCAGAGATTTTTATCCAAGTGCTGTCAAATCCATTTTCTCTGTGACTGCAGCAGAGTGGGGTTAGACCCCATCCTCCTCTTCGGAACACCAAGCTCCGATTTCCTCTAGCCCATTTCGCAACCTCCCTGTTTTATTTACGACATCATGTACGAGCATATCTGGGTCTCTCCAAACGCTGGCACTAGTGGTCACCTCTCTGCTGCTGAGAGGCTGCAAGAAAGGAGAAACTCACTTGATTTCCTCCAGGTTGTACATGTTCCTCAAGGCTTCCGCAAGTCTGGAGCAGCCGTCATTACCAACACCGGTGTGGTTCAAGCTGGAAACAACATCCCCAGGAAGACGGGCATTAAGCTCCTGTTAGTACTAGTAGCTCGGCTAGAGGTGAGCTGCGGTCCCATACTTACATAAGTCTTTTTAAAGATGACATTTCACGAAGTCCCAACACGAGCTTAGCAATGGCAGCACTGCCGAGATTCATGTAGCTCAGGCTGAAAGACGAAACAACACGGGAACAACTAACTACAAACGGGCAGTCGTGCGAGCGCTCCAAGCAGAGGAGAGAAAAACAAGGGTGGAAGAGATGCGGGAGTGTATTCTAGTCCTCGCAAATAGATTTCCATTGTGTTCGCTAACGCAATTCTACTGGATCCCAGAGAATCCCGAACATTCTGGAGCAAGAAGCCAGCCCCTCTGGGAGCAAGGTGCCACAGTGCTCACAAGATGGCAAAGTTCTAATGACAGCGACACACGGTGCCGTGGCACTTCCTAAGAGAAGGATGCCTAGAAAAGCCGTCTCTGCGGGCAGCCCACCGGATCACCCTCCTGGAGCAAAAGGCTGGCTCTGGGATGGCTGCACGGGAAAGACTCCCTCCCAGATGGGACAAAAACACACTTCCTGCCACAGGCTACCGATCTCTGTTGTCTCATTCATTGTGCATTGCAAAATAAAAAGGAACTGTTGCTTCTTCCCTGGCTGAAGTTCTCTAGCCATCAGGAAAACTACACCTGCCCACAGCAGGGGCAGAAGAGAAGCTACAATTTCACTAAAGCTTCTAGAAAGAACCAGGCAGACTCCAGACAGCCTGGTAACAACACTCACTTGAGTTCTTTGATGGCCTGGCAATTCTGCAAGCCTGTGGTCAAGTAATGCATCCCAGCCGGCATCAGACTGCTCGAGATCAGCCTGCAAAACAGCCGGGGATCAACGCACAAGGTCAGGTCTCAGCACTCTGAGAAAGAGGAATTTCCTGCACCGACAGGCAAGCTGCCCCATCCCAAACCCCAGCCAGCACGGACACAAGGGACCAGTAAGTTTGGAGAGATTTCCACACCTCCTGCGTACAGGGCTGCAAGGGCCAGGTAGTTCAGAGACGTTGCCACGACGTACCCACACCAGCACAGCCTCCGCCAGGGCCAACCAACCCCAACGTTTCCCATGTCCCTTATGAGCCTATCTCCCACTTACAGCCAGCTGAAGAGGGCTGGGAAAAGGACCGAATGCTATTTGGAGGAGGAAAAGCGCTTTTACACTGTAGGTGGTATAAAGCTACCTATGACGTAAACAAGAGCCAACGTCTCAGTCTGAAATTGCTTTCACTTCAAAAAAAGGGGAGAGCAAAGAAGCTCAAGACATGCACACAGCGCTCCTATAACCACCTTTAGTGTGATCTGCAGGGAGCTGTTGAGTTTGTCACCTCACCGCAGCCCAGGAGAGATCACAGCTCATGGTCATATTCCAGACAAGGAGCGTTTCAGAGAGGATCAGGGTGAGGCACAGTGTTGAACAAACAATAAACACATGGAAAAGACCACACAGCTGAGGACATACCCAAACTTCTTCAGCTTTGGAAGAGGCAGCAAAATCCTGGCAAGCATCTCTGCTTCATCGTTGTGGAGCTCAACATGAGACCACCTGCAAGGACAGAAGAGCACATCTGGGCTACGTCCACCGATGACGAAGGGTCCGAACCAAGCCCACACCGGTCCTGGGACACTGAAGAAGCGTCACAACATGGATAATTGGCAAGGTCCCATGGGAGCTCCCAGACACGCTAAGATAGTACAGATCCCCCAGGCACAGGGAAGAGATTTAGATGCCTTCAAAGGATACCCCAGGAAGCCACGGGGTCTACTCGTCTTCCATCCAAACACTCTACGTAGGGGACACAGAGGTCAGAGACTCACCCCTGTGCTCTGCCGCACACCCAAGGACAAGCTATTCCCTTTCCAAAAAACTCCTCCACAATGCCTGGCAACTCACCTCAGTTCCTGCAGCTGAGCACACTTTTCACAAATCCTTTGGTAGAAGCGAGCGTGCTGGATTTCTGGGTCGTACAGAGCCAGTCTGCAGGACACAAACACACAACGCAGCGGTCACTAACGCTCAGTAGACGCCCACTGCAGCGTCTCGTGCGCCTTAGGGCCAGGCTTGGGAAATAATCAAGAGTTTTTTGAGTTCCCTCCTTGAGCGCTCCTGCTACATCCAGTCTACACCACAGTCTAGAGAACCAAAGCCCTTCCCCAACTGCACAAGGCAACAGCTGCCGTCTTCTTTAGCTACACAAAGGGAAGAAGATGCTAACACCGTTCTCTTTCTACACTTTCACACAGAAGCCAACATGTCTTGAGAGTCTTCAAAGTGCTCGTGTCTCCTGAGCGCTCCTGGTCCTGCCGGGAAGGTAGGGAGATTTTTCTTGCCTCATGCAGGTCCAGCCCAGGCCTGAACGAGGGCAGCCCGCAAGACTAAGCCATGTGAGCAAGGTTCCCTCTGTGAGCCTGAACCCACGGAGATCAGAGCCTCAAGCACTCAGGATATTCATGAAGATATTCTTCATCCCATGGTGGGGTTCAGAAAGGAGAAGATTGGGACCAACAGTCACTTTTCTCACCTGTTAACAACCGACTCCACCTTCTCCTGGCAGTGGGGGAACTTTACACCTAACTGGAAGAGGCATTTCTCTTTACATATCCTGGAAAGGAAGAGATTAGAGAACATCACAAGCCTCGGGAGAACATCACAACTCTTGAGGGACAGCAAATGCTATTTTCTAGAACTAAAATCAGGAGGACTGGACAGGGCAGGGCTAGGCTGGCACACGAACACTAACCACCCCTCTCTGAAGAGGTTCACGATGTTTAAACTAGTTCCAAATCCAGCTTAATATGGGCACTCTCTCTCCCACAGGAGACCAGGAACGTGGTCTCCTTCCCACTACACCTTCTAAGGTGTGCGACCACAAACCTTCCAAGCACTTCTACCTGCCAGATATTTGGGCCAAACTTGCTTCGAGTTGGCTAATGGCTTACAAACACACTGGAGACAGAGAATAAAGAACAGAAGAGCAAGCTGAAGCCCTGGCTTCAATCCCCTTTCCTCAGGAATATCAAGCCAAAAGAAAATACCTAAAACATACCAGAACTCGAGGTGCTACTTACATGATCTCAGTAATGTTTCCACAGGCCTGGACAGCGAGCTCAAGGAGGTTCGTGACACTTTCTTTACATACCCACGGCTCTTCGATGCTGCAAAGCAGAAGACAGGCAGCTCTGCTTTAATTCACACGCACGGGTCCACCTCTGCCTCTGCCTGCTGCGCGCTCAGCCCTCTTAATTTCTAAGGAAAGGCTGCTTCACTCTTCAGACTAGTAATACCAATAACTTAAGAGTCACCCACAGAAATTCCTCAGGCCAACACGTCCTGTCTTTGGAAGAAGCGTAGTTCACTTCTGGTTTTGAGGTAAGGAGATCTTACACGACCACCCAAGCTCCAGGGCAACCTCTAAAGCAGCGCAACGACACAGTACCTGATTTTCAGAGGCCCCAAGTTCTGGCTCAGTGACCGCAGAAGTCTCTCCGCAGCCTGGACTGTCACGTTGTTATTGGAGGATCTAGAACCAAAGGTTGTTGTAACGAGCAGCTTACAAACAAGCCCAGCCCAAGGGGGTCCAAGCAGCCAGTAACTCACATGTACTCGGTCAGACCCGTGCACTTTTCCAGGAGCAAGCACAACTTTTCCAGGTGCTCTGGCTGAAAGTTGCACTCTGAGAGTCTGAAAAGAGGCAGAAGAGAACAACCTCAGTTCCTTACAAACAGCTCAGGCTTCACAGAATCACAGAATGTTTGGGGTTGGAAGGGATCTCAAAAGATCATCTAGTCCAACCCCCTGCCAGAGCAGGGTCACCCAGGGAAGCCCCACAGGAACGTGCTCCAAAGAAGCAGACTCCACACCCTCTCTGGGCAGCCTGGGCCAGGGCTCTGGCATCCACACAGGGAAAAAGCTTTTCCTAATATTTTTGTGGAACCTCTTATGTTCCAGCTTGCACCCATTGCCCCTTGTCCTGTCACTGGACGTCCCTGAAAAGAGCCTGGCTTCATCCGCCTGACACTCTCCCTTGACATATTTATAACCATGACTGAGGTCACCCCTCAGGTTCCTCTTCTCCAGCTGCAGAGCCCCAGCTCCTTCAGCCTTTCCTCCCCAGGGAGATGTTCCATCCCTCCATCATCCCTGGGGCTGCGCTGGACTCTCTCCAGCAGTTCCCTGTCCCTCTGGAGCTGAGGGGCCCAGAACTGGACACAACATTCCAGATGTGGCCTCCCCAGGGCAGAGCAGAGGAGGAGGAGGATCTGATCCAGAAATCTCAGGCATTACAACCTTTCCCCATGGAGAAGGACGGATGGCACCGAAACATTGAAAGCCTTGCGGGGCTTTTCAAAATGACTGTGGTGACACTTCAGAAGCGCCTGTTGGATTGTTCTGACCCAGCCTATGGGTATGCTGATGGGTGGGTTTTTGAGGCACCCTGCAGGCACACCTGCTGGCTCCTCGGTGAGGATCCTCTGTGACATGAAAAAGCTCTTCTCAGAAAGTGAATCAAAGGAAATGTATCATCTCTTAGAGCAAAATATCACTGTACCAGGAGCAAAGGGGTAAAAGAGAAATTGTCTGCCTTGATCCCACCTTTTGTCAAAGAAATCATCAAAAAAATCTCTGGACCATTACCTTAAAATCTTTCTCGGGTCATCTCTGCTTGTCAACTTGATGATTAAAGTTGCTCTGGAGCACAAACTGCACCGAGAAGACACGTGAGTGTAAGATTTGCAGGGAAAATTACAGTTTTTCTCAGTGGTCAGAATTTAATAATACATTGATCTGCACAAAACACCACAGTACAGTAGAAACAGAGGTACCCGGCTCAGCCCAGAATCACAAAATGCCCTCAACGTCATTACCTGAAGATCACAGATTTTGTGGTAATGAATAAGAAAACACGCAGGGAAGAACCAAAGATCATTGAGGAGAAACACACACCTGACTTGAACTTCAGCAGTGTTTCCAGATGTGGCAAAAGCATTTAAGAGGTGCAGAACTCCGTCCTGAGAAATCCTGTTGTGGCTGAGACTGCACAGAAGAGAAGGAGGGTTTTTTTTTCAGGTGTTGTCCCCCGGATCCTCAGGCACAGAAGCGAAATGCAAGCCAGCACCGAAGGCAGAGCAGTTTGTGGGGTGCTAGGCCCCTTCAGCTGTGCTAAATGCACCAAAGCCCCCCCAGACACAGCACTGACAATTCAGGGGACAAAAAGGGAAGGTGAGAGGCTGGCGAAGGGCCCAGAGAAGCTCACAGCACCCCTGGGTGGGCCCTGAGTTATTCAAAAAGGACAACAGACAGAAAAAAGCGATGAACTGAACGCTCAGGGCACTGGGCCAACTTCTGCCACACTACCCTGCTCTGGGCTTTGTTTGTTGATGCTAAAAGAAAGACTTTTAGTTACATGGGCAGGTTTTGGGCAGTTTTTTGAATCACCTTGACCTGGAGGTCTTGAGTCAGGCTCCTGGCTCACTCAGACCTGACCTGCTAAGGCAGAAGTGGGCAAGAAGCATGGCAACCAGCTTCGGGAAGCATCGCATGAACACGTTTCTGCTAGGGCGCCTCCGACTCCCAGAATATTTTCTTACTTGAGGGAACAGGTAACGGGCACTCGATGCAAGTGGTCCAAGAAGCACCTCAGGCCTTCATCTCCCAGCTGATTCCCGGAGAGACTGAAAGGCAGAAGAACAAGGTGGCCAACCAAAACTCAGCCTTTTAAGCAGCCACGCTCCTCTGAATAGCTTTGAAGGAAAAATCCAGACCTCCCAGACTTAAACCCCAGCTCGGCCATTAAAGCTCTGTCTAAAACAAGCTGCTGCCCTACAAAAACTACCTCACATGTGAGCTCCAGGACAAGCTCAGACAAAGAGCTCTGAACACAAGCTCAGAGCAGGGCTCAGATGATGCCTCAGAACAGCCACAGAGCGAAAATTCCAATTTGTCCCACCAGCTCAAGCCCTCTTTAAACATATATAGAGAGGAGATTTGTAAGCCTTACTTACTCTACTTCTGCCAGCCACCCGTGCCGCTCCAGGACTCTGCAGAGCTCATCCACCTGCCCTCGACCGATGGCACAGTCCACCAGCCTGTGCGTGAGAGAGCGAGAGAGTTAAAGGACGATGGAGTAACGAGAGCTGCCCATCAGCAGCTGCATTTTCACACCAGTTTCTGGGCAGCATTCGCTGAGACTGTTGTCATCAAATTTAAGTTTTAAGGAGCTGATGAATAACTAATTACCATTTTAATTAATCACCATTTTAATCAAAGCAGTTTATTGACTTGTATTAGGATAAGGAATATAAAACCTTAAAAACCTTACTTATGCTAAGAAATGGTGTGTAGGCCTTGGCTAAAAGCAGAGCTGGTACGGGTTGCAAAACTGAGAGGGAATGTTTCGTGCTTGTCTCCCTTCCTCCCTGGGGATGTTCTGTGCCTGCTTCCCTACCTCCCTGGAATGTTCTGGACTTACCTCCCTACCTTTTTATCTTATGTTTTGTGATAGTAACATAGAAACGTCGCATGTTTTGTGATAATAACATAGAAACATCGCATATCTCACCTTAATTTGTATATCAGGAGTTGTAATCAACAAAATAACCAATAATCGTATTGATATAAGAATATTAATAAGGGCTAAACCAATCATAGAATCATAGAATCATAGAATGGCCTAGGCTGGAAGGGACCTTAGAGATCATCTAGTCCAACCTCCCTGTCGTGGGCAGGGACACCACCATTGATCATTGTAAATGTCAAAATTAATAGTGGGCATAGTATGCATGTTTATGTTAAAGATCATGACTTTGCACAAAAAGTGTATAAACAGGCTGAATTTTGGTGATTTTTGGTGATTTCCAAGCTTCCCAGCGCTGCAATAAAGAAGTGTCGGCTTATCTACGTGTAGATAAGTTCTGTCATTTTTGCGACCTTCCCTTTGAATATCGCAACAAGATGAACGCCCTCAGCTGTGCCAGTGCTTGGCACTTCTGGGAACACCTCCCTGAGCTCAGGAACAACAAACGCCACGTTTTAAGTTAGGAATACATCTTTTCACAACTTTTGGCCTCTCCTTGGTGCCTAACGGGAGACACGTCACAGTCTTCACAGGGACATCGTTGCCAGCCAGGCTGCAGACACCTATCATACACACAACCACGCTGATGTTCACACGGGGATCACCCAGAACCCAAGGCACCCCTCTGGAGATGGCCAGTGCTCAGGTCAGTGGCTTTCACAGCAGAATTTGGTGCCGCTCCAGAGGAGCAACGAGGCTGGGGAAAGGACTAGAGGGCAAGTGCCGTGAGGAGCGGCTGAGGGAGCTGGGGGTGTTCAGCTGGAGCAGAGGGGACTCAGGGGGGGCCTCATCGCTCTCTGCAACTCCCTGCAGGGAGGATGCAGTCAGGTGGGGCTCTTCTCCCAGGATGAGAGGGCCCGGCCTGAGACTGCGTCAGGGGAGATCTGGGTTGGGTCTCAGGCAGCCCTTCCTCTCCCGGAGAGGGTGCTCAGGCCCTGGGATGCTCTGCCCAGGGCAGGGGGAGTCCCCGTCCCTGGAGGGGTTTAAGGAGAGGCTCAATGATCTCAGAGGGCTTTGCCAGCCTCAATAGTTCTGTGATTCTGCAATCACATGTAGTCCAGTGGCCACTCAAGAAAGGCGAGGGCCTCTGCCGTACCAGTGAATCTGAATGTTGCACTTGGGCAGCTGAATTGAGCCCCAAAGCTTTGGCTACTAGCCCAGCTCCTTGACTACCAGTCCAAGAGTTCTTCATACAAGAGGAGATTTGGCTACTTGCACCACAGTTTCAAACCTAATCCAGCCGAGTGAATTATAATTAAATGTACGCCAGTACCTGCATGATGTCTTCTGGCTTCGCAGGCTTGGTCCTAAATGCAAGAAAGCATTTTCACTTGACCTGAAGCAAACACAAAAGGCGGTCCTTAAGCAACGCTCTTCAAAGATGAGAAGCTTTGGAGTCCCTTTAAAGCTGAGCTGCTGGGTTCCAAATATTCTGAGCGTCTTACCGGACTTCCACTGCTCTGATCCGCTCACAGAGGTTGATGGAGCTGGCGAACAAGACAGCACAACGTGGGGAAAATGTGTTGTTCCGAACGCTGAAAAGGAAGGGAAAGAAACAATAACAGAATTGGCTCCCAAGAAGAAAGGTTCCAATGCACGCTGCACTCCTTTTCGCCTAGCTTTTTTATCTACAATTACCGACAGATGTTCCTAAGACATGCTGTGGCATTAGCACTCCCCAAACCAACGCCTCCCCGCAGCACGGACCCCAAATATTACCTCAGGAGCCTCAGATGACAGAGGTACGGCAGGAAGCTCACTAATCTCTCAATGCTCTGCTCACTCAACGAATTTCCATACAGACTGTAAAATACGTAAGGAAACAAATGCCAAGAGAAACTAGGACAATCTCTCAGTATTTCAATAAAATCTACAAGGACACGCACACACACATGTGCATGGGAGTGTTACGGGCAAATTCCAAAAAAAAGCGCACATCCAGAAATGCCCTGAAAGCCAGGCAAGATTTAGCCCTTGCAGGCTGACCTCTGTGTTTCTCTACATGCTATAGTCAATCAATATTCCAGTTGTAAGACTCTTATTTTTCCATCGCTGTAGATTTATAAAATGACCCTACCGATGTATTTCATGCGTGTGATATGGGCATTATGTTATTTTGATTTGTTATTACTCTGGGTTTTTTTGTTCTGACCAGGATTCTTCTAATTTTCTTAGTGCCCAGCTCCTGCCTGGAGTGACCGGTTCTTTGGGAGTTCAGTTCACGGCTTTGCTGGCCAGTCTGGCCACGCTGCAAGCCAGGGTCTCGAGGAGTAGGTGACAACCCTCGTGTCTAGCCACATGTTTGAGGAAGACTAGGAGAACACATCCGTGTTCTGGGGTGCTTACGCACGGATATGGTAGACTTAAGAGAAGCCCAACTCTGTCCGAAATGGAGAAGACAGCAGAAACCAAGTTTTGTGGGGATTTCTAAGAGGCTGTGGCGAGAGATTTGCATCCGCTGCGAATCTGAACCCCAACGCTGGACCTGTGGGCTGGGGAGACGGGCAGGCAGGGTTGCGGAGCGGGCACCACTTACTCGATTTCTGTGAGCTGGGGACACTGAGCCAGCGTCTGGCACAGCCTGGTCACGTCCTCCGGTCCCACTCTGCAGTCCCCGAGGCTGAAGCAAAGAAAGCGCTCAGTTGCTAAACATTGCGCATGAGCACGGTACGGCAACACTCCCTTCACAGCCCAGAGCCGCACGTCCTCGCAGCAACGCTCCAGCACTACATATATTTTGCCACCCCCACTCTAGGACTGAGAAGTCAAACCCTGTGACAACCAGATGATTTCTCCTGCTCTAAGCTGATTCAAGAGAGCCACTCAGCCAAAATACCAGGGTCACTTTGGGTGTTGCTTACACGTCCCTGGTACTTAAATTGTCTCAGGAGACTGGACAGCATCACCCACTGCCTCAGCTCTCGCAGAGCAAGGCTGGGGATGGTGCCTCCTGTGTCCTTCTCCAGGAAGGAAGTCACAGAAACCTTCGTGGGTGCTAATCAGGCAGGTCTCCATGGGCCCACCACAGCAGCCAGCCAGAGCTCTATCTCAGTATTTACGGCTAGAAGGTTCCTCCGTACGAAAGCAAGACAATCCCCTCCAGCCTTGCCAAGCAAAAGATGCGTGATTTATCTTCCCATATACACCGGTAGCAGTGGACATCGCAAATCTGTCCCAAGAGGGTGTCCTATTCACCCAGCCACCGCTGGCAGAGCCCTGCGTCCCTCCAGTGACCTCAGAGGACAAATACCTGCTGATCCAGGCTGCTGCCAGCTGGCCCTATCTCTTTAAGGGTTGGCCAAATTACGTGGGCCAAGACCTTCTTCCTTGTAACCAAGTGTTGTTTTGGGGACTGGCCTCTCTGTCCAGTTTCAGCAGAGGACGGAAGAGCATTCTCTGACCCTATATATTAAAGATGCACCTTTTCCAGGAGTGTCTCATGTGGAATGAGTTGGGATGGGCTACAAGCAGAGGAAAGAAACATCTTTCCAAGAGAGCTGAGCCTGCCCTCGAAGGCAGGCAGGGCACGAGACAGCTCCCTGAGGAGACACAGCTGGAGGGACGGGTCTGCTCCACGGATCACGCTCCAGATCCAGACCCCCAGAGCCACCTCTCCCCACACTCCCAGATGACAAGAGGAAGCCAGGGCTGCCGTACCGAAAGCACCGTCCTTTGGCTTCTCGCTCGGGATGCGCCAGGAGGCCACCACTCCATCTGCTGGTACTTCTGACCCTGGGGAAGGGACACTTTAGTCCACACGTCGTGCTGGAGTTATTGCTCCTGCATAGCTGCCTCCCCACGCCGCAGCTGGGGAAGAGCAGCGGCTACATGCTCCAAGCTTGCCTTTCTCACCACCTGCCAGAATTCAGTTCACATCATCCCCAGAAGAAAAAGGGCCTTATTTACCCTCTTCCAGCCTTTGGGCACTCTGGGGATTTGCTCTGCCCTGGCCCAGCAGCTCCACACCCTCAAGCCACTGACAATCACCCCACCATGGAACAGTTCACCCTGCTCCCAGCACCCTGACCCAAGTTTGGAGCCAAATGGCTCTTTGAGACACCTCAGAGACTCACACCTCACCATTTCTTTAAGATTTCACAAAGAGGAGTCTGGAAAACTTAGATGAGAGGGTATGATTTTACCTGTTTCTTGCCCAAAAGGTTAGATGAACCACTTGCGCGTGTCCTAAGCTGTAACCAGCAAAGAACGTAATTAGGATGGAGGCTGAAGACACTGTAACACTCCTCAAAAAACACTGTTCAAGGTATTAAATGGGAAAAAATAGGAAAAGTACTCCTGGTCGTACCTGAGGTTCATTGTTTTAATGTGTTCCAATGTAGATAAGGACTGAGCTAAGTAAAACACAGAGTTCAGGGAGAGCTGGTTGTCATTAAGCCTACAAGGAGAAGAGATGAATCAGCTGCTGCAAGCAGAGCTACAAACAACTCACACCGCGCCACCCGATAACAGCGGGCCTGTTATCGGCCACTCTCAGGTGTTACTCCTTTACCTCCTCCTGCTTGGGTTTCCAACTGCAATTCTGCAAACACAACTCACTCCAGGGCTTTTTTAAATTTGTCCCTCTTTCTGGAGTTCAGAGAATCCAGAATAATCGAGGCCAGAATGGACCTCCGAGGCTGATCTAGTCAAACCTTCCCGTTCTGAGGAGGGTTAGACTAGAGCAGACTTCTCAGAACATTGTCCAGCTGGGTTTTGAACATCTCCAAAGCTGGAGAATCCACAGTGTCTCTGGGCAACCTGCTCTAGTGACAGATCTATCTCACCACACAAGTTTCTTCTTAAGGTTAAATGGAATTCCTTGTATTTCAAGACACGGATGCAAGGCAGAAGCAACTCTTTCACTGCATTGACATGAGCAGGAGCTGCAGACTTGTCAGTAAATGGGACAGTCTTGGCTTGAGAACAGCTCAACTAATCAAACAAGATTAGGACTAGAGCTGAGGACTGACCAGACAGCCCAGTGGATCTACCCTCACAGACACAGAGTAGAACTGCACTTGGTCCTGCAGAGCCCTTCCCAAATGTGGACTGTGCTCCCCCAAAAACCCACCTGTGAGTAAGGAGAAGCAGGGGCTACTCACCTGAGAGAACTTAACATTTTCAAACTCGGCAGGAACTGAAAAACCTGCAAAAGTCCCTCGTCTCCCAGACTGTTATTTGATAGGCTAGGATTTAAAGAAATGCATTTAAATTTCATAGATGAAAAAAACCCAAAACTATCAATTCTTAGTAACAAGAGCTCTGAGAGCAGGACAGGGGCACCCTGATTGAAACAACACGAGCGCTGCCCCTCTCCACTGACAACTAAAGCCTACAGGGACACCAGATACTGGACTTTAACAACAAAAGACAGACAAAAGCCCAGCTCAGGGCTCATCCTTTTCTCATGTCCACCAAGTGACCCCTCTGGACCGACAGTGCTTTTTAACGCAGTTACCAGGGATCGCAAGTCCACAGCTCTGAGAAGTGGTCAGCCTGGGCGAGCCCAAGAGAGGAGCCACGGCTCACTCACGCAAAAGGACATGAGGTTCTCTAGTAGAGCCCAAGGATTACAGTGGGCTGGGGCCACTGCTGTGATTGCTTAAGAATCATAGAATTGTAAAGGGCAAAGGCTAAAAATCTCTGCCACAGGCCTAAGGGATCAGAATCGCAGAATCATGTAGGTTGGAGAAGACCTTTCAGATCATCGAGTCCAACCGTCAGCCCAGCAGTGCCAGGCCCAGCACCGACCCTGTCCCTGAGCTCCACATCTGCCTGCCGGGAGGGGGCCCCCCCCCCCTCCCCTGGCCAGCCTGTGCCAGGGCTCCACAACCCTTTTGGGGAAGGAATTTTTTCTAATACCCAATCTAAACCTCCCCTGGAGGAACTTGAGGTCAGCGCTGGGGTGGTGGTACATAACTACACGCTCGTGTTGGTCCTCGTTCAGTCCTCAAAACCCAGATGGGGGAGGTGTTGGCTAACCTTTCCCTCCAGGCTGGGCCTGCTCACCTCTTGGCGTCAGCAAACAGCGTGACTCCCCAGGCACAGTGCCAACAGAACAAGGTGCTTTGGTGCTGAAGGTCCTTGGTATACCACAGAGGGGGTCACCAGCAGGAACACGGGCTCCCACCTTAATTTGGGTGGGGCCCTCAGTCTCCGCAGCTTTACTCCCAAGCGGATCAAAGGCAAAAAAGGCCAGGGCAAGGTTTATACAGCTTTTGTAACACCTGAAGTCAGCGTAAGTGATCACACAGCCCCTTTCTAGATTAACGGCATGCAACTTTTGCCCTAAGAAAGTGCTAGAACCGTACATCTCCTTGGCAAAGGATATTGCCTTTGCCTTTTATAAGGCCATGCCTGTACCACACTTTCTGTACAACACCGCAAAACAACAAGTAGCATTTTCTCAATAACCCAAAAAGCCACAGAAAAAGACCGTAAGAGTTAAGAAGGACTCACTCCAGCTCGGATATGCTGCTACACCCCTTTAGGACTGCACACAGCTTCTCCAGGTCATCAGCTTGAAAATGACTGTCTGTCAGCCTAGGGGGCAAGAGAAATCAACAGCCTGGGTCTGCAGGACTGCAAACAAGATTGTAAGCTTCACTCCTTCTGCAAACCAGAGAATAAATGATACTAACAAAACAAAAAAGCCGCTTTCAAATATCAGTAGAGAAACCCCTCGGCACCACAAGCTCTGCCATTGCCAGCCCTCACCTGGGAGCCACTGCAGGAACCGCAGAATCCCCACGCCGGCTCGGTGACAGAGATATGCAACCCACAACCTGTTCTGACTCCTGCAGGAAACCAGATGCTCGCCACAGAGCTCCCAGTGCTGCAAACTGGGACTGTGAACACAATGGCAGAAGGACTGACTGCAGGGGGCTTTACCAGCTCTCTCCTGATTCACCATCCAAACCCAGAGACGCAGGTTACATCAGCTGTACGAGCCAGAGGTAGGACACGCATAAAACACAGGGAAAATCTACCCCGGTACCTTATTTTGGGGAGGGGAGCAAGCATCTGGTTTTCCTCTCCATACTGTCGGTCATCAGGAGAGAACACGGGCTTCTCCCTAAGCGAACACAAAAGCAGAGAAGGGTAAGATATTTGGCAGGCCCCAGGGCTTCCCTGGCTCTAGCCCACACCCATGTCTGGCTAACAGCAAGCTCTTCTTGCTTTCAGCAATTAACCAAATGCTCGAGCATGCAGGGGAAAAAGACAGACTGCTACAGCTTGATGGAGAATCCAGCTTTTGCCTAAACACGTCTTGTGAAAAGGGTCCACGTCTCTGCAGAAAACTAACTATTGGTAAACAAATGGAGCATCCAGACCCTGAAGTATCTGAGTTTGGAACGTGACCTGGTGCCTTAAAGGAGTCACAGATCACGCGTCTCGGGCTGTCACTCTCTTTCAAGAGGAGTCACAACTGAGCTGAATCCCACGATAATCCTGCTGTTTCTCCTTGGCTAAGAAGAAATGGGAAGAAGGCTAAGAGGAAGTGGGAAATGCTATTTTACAGTGGGCTTAGTCCATGAACAAGGGCATAAATAAATGAATCTACAGCTCCAGGAGCAGCTGGAAACCATTTCTCAAGCAGGACATTCGAGTCGAGCTCATTTGACCCATAATTTTCGGAGCGGAAAAAAGAAAACTCCAATTTTATTTTGGTTTAGGAGTACCGTAACCCGGAATGCATGCTGCAGTGAACCAGATCATTTTAAACACGCAGAGATCTGCGAATCTTTTTGGAATTAGGTTTGGAGGTGTGGGGTTTTTTTCACTGTTCGCTATTACCAGACAGCACAACTGCCATTAAATCAGCCTGCGCAGTTAGGGTGCTGCAGGTTGGAATGTTCCCTAGAGGCAGAAAACTTCATCAAACAGTCTAAAAGGCAGCGGACAAGTTCCAAAATGTCTAAGAAATCCAGGACAAAGTACAATGTTTAGATTCGGAGGTGGAGAGGGGGCATAAAACTGCTGTGAGATGAAGTGCTGCCCTTGGTACCTCAACAGGATGTAGTAACTAAATGAGATGCTGAGAGAACCCCACGTGTGCCCGCACGCTCTACCTAGGCGGAAGGGAAGCAAACTCTTTGTCTTCTGTAAATCTCAGGACTGCAGCGTCACGACAAAGACTGTGAAGAGAAGAAATCAATCAAGGTCACATTTGGGTTATATGTCACAGGACTTCTTGCTTGAATTCACCCTGCGAAACGCTTTAGTGATACCAATCCCTTAAAATGCTTCCAAAGCAAGAAAAAAATAATCTCCATTAGTTTGAAACCCTGGCTGGACCACACTATGAAACAGCAGGTGGCACAGTTTCTCTGAACCTTTAGAGAAGGCGTAAACCAAACTGTCACACTTGTTTCCAGGGAGTTTCCAAGGGGAATTAATAGGAGAGAACTTCCAGCTCCACTCCAGGTGATGTCGCCAGTTCTCACACTCCACAGAGACCATTTCCCAAAAACTCCCAGGGCAGAGAGCAGGAAAGAGTCTAAAATTGCCCCCGGTCAGGAAAGGACACACACATCTTCTCAAATTCTGGGGGATGGCTCAGATAAAATGAGCTCACAGTAAGGTATGATCAAGTACTGGTGTCAGTCATGCTTTCTTCACCCACCCCATTTCTGAGGCGCCTCCACAAAATCCTCAGAACCTCACTCTCAGCAGTGGATGGATGGCTCAGATAAAAAGAGCTCACAGCAAGGTATGATCAAGTGTCGGTGGCAGCAGTCATGCTTTCTCCACCCACCCCATTTCTGAGGCGCCTCCATAAAATCCTCAGAACCTCACTCTCAGCAGTGGATAGCGGGACTCACCCCAGCAGTGATTCAGGACCTACACACCTGACCTGCACCTCCAGCACCGTCTTGCAGGTATTTACTGACTTCAGCAGGCTGCAAATGCCACGAACAGAGAGGTGGTTTTGACTGAGACTAAGGAAGATTAAAAAAAAGGCAATTAATCAGGTGGTCACGGAAATCACACAGGACTGTGTGCTGCGCGCTTGCCCCCATTTCACTTCCAAAGCGCCCTGGTGGAAAACACACAGGCCCACTTACTCCTGCGCAAGGGGTTTTAAGGAAAGGGCGCTCTGGAGGCGTTTAAACAAGTTTTTGCACGCGATGCTCGGGCAACAAAGCTGGTGAAGGGCCTGGAGAACAGACCTTATGAGGAGCGATTGAGGGAGTTGGGTCTGTTCAGTTTGACGAAGAGGAGGCTGAGGGGGGATCTCAACATGCTCTACAGTTACTTGAAAGGACATTGTAGAGAGGTTGGTGCTGGTCTCTTCTCACAGGGAATCAGGGACAGAACCAGGGGGAATGGTTGCAAGTTGCAACAGGGCAGGTTTAGGCTGGACATTAGGAAGAAATTCTTCACAGAAAGAGTGGTCAGGGCCCGGCGCTGCCTGGGGAGGGGGTTGAGTCACCATCCCTGGATGTGTTCAAGTGTCGCTTAGATGGGGTGTTGGGGGAGATGGTTTAGGGGTGAATTTGTAGTGTAGGGTTAATGGTTGGACTTGATGATCCCAAGGGTCTCTTCCAACCTGAATTGTTCTATGATTCTATGACTTCAGCCCAAACAGTCTCAGAGGCCGAGTCTCATCCTTCCTGAAGAGCGCTCAGAGCAGGGTGAGGCCTCAGCCTCCCAGGTCCCTGCTCAGCATCTCTGTGTGGTCCTCGCCAGGCTCAGGAGAAGAGGGCAGTTCAGGTTTGTACAAGGCAACACTTACTCCAGCTGCTTAGAAATTGATATCCAAGGGAGGCTTTCCAGCAGGACACCGCAGCCTTCATCTCCAAGCTTGTTACCTGACAAACTGAGCATTTTCCAGTTAGTGGGGACTGTTTTGAACAGTAGAAACAACAAAGCCCTCAAAATCTGCTTGCTTTCATTCTTCTACAGATGTTTTGGGGTTTGTTTTTTTTTGCCTGGACTGTTCTTCCACCCCAGCAGATTTTCCCTGCTTATCTTTGCATGGAGCAACTTCAGACAAAGAGGAAAACATGATTTATGCTTCAGCCCCAAAACCATCTTACTTTAGAAAACCTAAGTGGGAATAGAAAACAAGAAACCAAACGAGTGAGTGTTTACTGTCCTCCTGGATGGAAGGAAGAGAACCCTGGATGACAGAGATCTCCAGATGCCAATTCGAATCAGTGAGCTACAGAACTGGGGTTTGAGGCATTGCTAAATATTCAGGACTGAACATATTCAGGACTGAACTGTCTTGCAACAGATATGCCTGCATTTTCACCAGATAGGTGGGAAGAGCTTCACAGCCAAAATTAGGTCATATATAGGCAAATAAGGAAAGGGAGGGATGACCCCCACCGCACCGTGCAGGTTATGAAGTGGATCCCTTGCCTCACTTATCCCAGCAGAGCTGCATGGCTTTGGAAGGCAAAAGGGACAACACAGGGGCTATTTGTGTCCCTTTGCCGGCCCCGAGGACTTGCTGGAGGAGCTGTGCCTCCGTGAGCAGGGTCTGTGCTATCACTGGCACCTCTGGTCACAGTCTCAGGGAGCCAGAGGCTGCAGTTGCGCCAGGAATCGAAGGCTG